CAAGATCAAGTAAAATATTTATGGAGCATTCGGAACAAATCCCATCATGTATTCACCTCTGCCATTTCCCTTTAATGTGAAGCAGAGTGAAAGGCACAGAAGCGCTAAGCCTCAGTCTCTAGAGAGGCCTGGAGACAAATGCTGGCAATATCAAAACCGCAGGGAGGGAGGTGACAATGTCGTCTGCTTAATTGTAAAGGAGTGCAAACTGCAGGCAGGCAAACAGTGTTAGAGGCTGACTGGAGGTGAATTCTGGCTTAAGGTTGTCCTTTGTGAGGTTTCTATACTGACACCTAATGGCTAGTGATATAAAATATTCAAATAACTGTGGATGTAGAACATAAATTTTATCATAACTGCAGAAGGAACTTCCTGAATAAATCCACTATCTGAAGGTTTTGGCATGGCCGTGTTTTTCCTTTAACTCCTTTACTTTACTCCGTTTCAATTTTTGCACTGCTTTATTTACAGACAATGAGTCTGAATACTAATTAATTTAAAAATAAAATACATATGTATGTATTTTGCATATTTCAATAGGCCTACTTGTAGTGCATGGGCACGTTTCCATTTTGCTTCGGAAACATACATCAACCACACTACTCTCTGAGTCTGAGTTGGAACTAGACCAGTGTTCAAAGCCCAAAACAGAGCCAAGAAATAGAACATGGTGCCTGACTTTTCAAGTGCTTGAAGGTTAATTATTCAAGACTCCCCTCTCCTCACAACAAGCCAAGAACAGCAGGATAGTGCGGTGAGCTGCAGCTTCTTCTTTATTCCCTTGGAGAGTGTCAGAAGTTTAAAACCACTGTTCAACTGTAATTGAAATTCACACGTTGTCTGATGTCTGGTACCTTCAAGCAAGGAGAATAAAATATAGGCCAAATATAACCTCAGATACTTGGTAAGCAGAGCAATCAGTGAAATGATACCAATCAGCAACAAGACTAATCTGTTCTTTGTTATTGTGATTATGCATGCATTGTGAGCGTAAATTATGTGCAATTAGTTTGCTCATCTGTTTAAAGATAAAAAAACACATACAGGTACTTCATGATGAATATGTTGGGTATGTGAGCAACAACATAATGAGATTAAGGATTTTGATAATTAGGTTTCCATAGTTTTATAAATCAATTAAAGCCTGAATAAGATTGTTGTATTACAAAAAAAGAGAGAGACAGAATTTAAGTACAAAAAGTGGAAGTAAATTGCGAAAGTTACATTGTGAAATATTCCCCCCCACCACCCCCAAAAAAGCCTCTTTTCCTCATCCTTAAATACTTAAATACCTCTTTTCTCAAAACTATCAAAATCTTCAGCAAGAAAAAAGAAAAAAAATTTGCTTAATGCTGATTAAAATGCACATTTAAAAATTAAACAAATTTGAAATGATAACAAAAGGCATAAATCTCTAATATAAATGGTCTGTATTTATATAGCGCTTTACTAGTCCCTAAGGACCCCAAAGCGCTTTACACATCCAGTCATCCACCCATTCATTCACACACTGGTGATGGCAAGCTACATTGTAGCCACAGCCACCCTGGTGCGCGATGACAGAGGCAAGGCTGCCGGACACTGGCGCCACCGGGCCCTCTGACCACCACCAGTAGGCAGCAAGTGAAGTGTCTCGCCCAAGGACGCAACGACCGAGACTGTCGGAGCCAGGGCTTGAACCAGCAACCTTCCGATTACAAGGCGAACTCCCAACTCTTGAGCCACGATCGCCCCAATATATACCCAATATATACCCAAGTCCAATATATACCCTATCCTTTATAAACCACCAAGAGTTTACAAGCAACAATGTGTGTGGGCTCATCATTCACCAGGCTAAATGCACCTCAAATAAAGATGAATAAATGATAGCGGCTGACCTTTTTACTACACACGGTTGTAAACTGTGAAAGAGAACGCTAGTGCTGTTTAAGAAATGTAATGTCTTAAAGGCGCTGCTAGAAGAGTTGTTACTTTGTCCATCAGGAATACACTGTCAAATTAGAAAGGCGTTATCTTCTAACAGCTAGCCAGCTGGATTGCCTGTTTAACTGTGAACTGATTGCTAACTGTGAACTGATTGCTCACAAACAAGCAATCACAAAACTGCTATAATAACACTGGAAAACAATTCTCTGATAAGGTCATTGCAGGAGCGGATAAAATGTGTTTGTCAATATTTCCTTGGCCAAAGAACTGACACAATGCTGAATGTGACTCCATTAGTTAAAATGCAATAGTGGAATAGTAGTGGTTGCTACTGGCAACTGAATGTTCAAATAAAACCAGCTGCTTGTGGCAGAACAGAGAGTATTAAGACCTCCTCTTCCCCTTTCCCTTTTGGTTTTACACTTGATAAATGATTTTATTTTTAAAAGTAGCTCTGTCAGAATATAACTGGGAAACTTGATGAAATTGTAGCTGTGAGCCTCAGGGCAGATGGGTGGGTGCATGAAGAATTCCCGTGATGCTGAACAAAAGGAAAGCACATTTCACATTAAATAGAAGAAAGGATTTCAATCCAAATCAACAGTGGTCTAATGATGCCTATGCGCCATGTTACTCATGTCCCTTCTGGGCAACCATGTTAGCCATAATTTCCCAGTATTTAAAATACACTAACAACTCCTTATGAAAAAGACAGAACTTTTTATTCAGCTCAGAAATGTTTTTATCCAACTTGGTAGTAAGCCTGTGGTGTTCTTTAATTATGCAACTAAACTTGTTTTTATGTGTATTCATTAATTTCATTTTATTTTGCAGGAAAATCTAAAAGCCCACAGTGCAAAGGCATCCTTGTTAAGGGATTGTCCTGATTTTGCCATAATTGTATATTTAAGCGTGATGGGCTGTCTCTCTCTCGTGACTGGTGACCTGTCCAGGATTTGCCCTGACTCTCACCTTACCTGACAGTTAGCTCACTGAATGGCTGGATGGAGGGATGGATGGATGGATTAATAGCTGGATGGACGGATGTAAGGATGGATGAATGCATAGATGGATAATCCAGTTACAAATGTTTTTATAGCACATATGATAGCAAAACAAATTTAGATACCTGTTTGTTCAGATTGTATTGAATACACTAGCTGGCATAACAGCGATGAGGTGTCTATTCCAAGTTTCATTTAAACAGCTTGGAATGTAATTGGTACACATACATTTTCACCATTTCAGATTAAAATAACCACCCTTGTCAATAACTCCAATATGTTGGGTAAGAGCATAACAAAACAACCATGACCCAGAATCAAGATATCACCAAAATTCACCTGTTTATTTCCCTGGTCTCCACGAAAGTCAACATCAAGTCAACAACTTTATTTTCAGAAAAATCTATTCTTTCTGCCCACACAGAAGTCGCCTGGACTGTTTTGCTGGGGTATTGCTTATTCCAGTCATTAATACCAGTGCTATTACCCAGAAAATTGAGCTCATGTCTTGAACCAGTTCTGGACTTTTAGGCTGCTATCACTAGTTTTGGCCCTTATACCTTACTTTATCAATTACATGAACAAAATAAATGAATAAATAAATAAAACATAGTTATAATAATAATTTTATCCCTTATAATCTGAAGGCCTTGTGACACAATTTAGAGAAATAAAAATAACTTGCTTATATCTATAGCAATTAGAAAGGTCACTTTTAAACACTGATCCCTGCGGTCAGAACATAAGAAAACATTTCACAATGTTTATATTGACCTTATTAGAGTATGCCTTTGTGGTAATAAATTCCACTCTATGGACAATCATTTTTGATGCTTTTGTGTGTATGCTCAAATAACAAATGTACAAACTTATTGTAAATGCTTTGAACTGGGTGTTTTCTGCAAAGAAGAATCCACCCTGCTTTATTTTAGAAAAAAAGAAAAGAGTTCAGGAGAAGGACAAATGACATCACTATCCTGTCTTGAAATTTTCTTTTTATTGTATTGAATACAAAAGATAAAAGTGCAGAAGAGCAGAACCCATTATGTCTCCGCCATGTTGCATCAGAGTAAGTGAGAAAAGTCATCATTTCTCGGATATTCTGATGCAACAATACACATTTATTCCGGTACTCTAAAATCCTTGAAACACAATTAAAGGAAATGGAAATTGCAGTAAATCCATAAGTGGAATGTGTGCGTGTGGTGCATCACACACTTGAAAACCTAAGATGAATTTCAACTACAGAAATATGAAAGATCATGTGAAAAAGTTTACCAATCACTCCTAGAGTCGAAGTGACAATAGTGTCTCATCACAATGTGTTTTTTTTTTTATGTTCAAAAATTCTATTCTTTGGAAAGTACTTCAGATTTATGTATACAATTAGCTTAATGTAAATGCCTTGAGCCAGACATTTTGTTTAAGTACTTTACTTTAGAAAAACAGTTTGGGGAAGTGCAAATGATGTCATCTTATAAAAAACCATCGACTTTATGTTGTTGAATAAATAAGACATACAAGAGCAAAAGAGCAGTCTCAATCATACCCATTATATCTACAAATCGATCTATGTGTTTTTATATTACCTGTTTAGATCTACATACAGACCTAGTGCGCAATGTTGCGTCAGAATCTGCTGATGCAATAGACTATTCTGGTAGCGTGAAGGTTACAGTAAGTCGTTAATAAAATGCGAAAAAGGACAGATCATAGTGGCCTCATCACAACGTGTCTTCGTGCGTGTGTGTGTGTGTGTGTGTGTGTGTGTGTGTGTGTGTGTGTGTGTGTGTGTTTGCGATGCTTCTACATCCCGTGCTTCATACAAGGTGCACTGACCAAGTGTTCAGGAGAACAACTGAAATCGAAAATCATTAAATATAAATAAATAAATAAATAAAAATCTAGCTTGATATCGTGATATGTGATTGCATTTCCTTATTGAAATACATAAAATGAGGTTTGGCATTAGACTTTTTAATTAATGGACACAAACTTTGAAAGAAATACGACGTGTTACATCACCCTCCTCTGACAGGAAGCACCGCCCAAGAGCACCGCCTGCAAGCTTGCATCAGAATATCCGGGCAACGTCATCAATCCTTCCCCGGCACCTTGCACCGCTTGCAGTAGATATACCTCAGACTTTATCTCTCGGTTTAAAGTAGGATAGCTTTAAACTCCTTATGGCTGAGAAGACTGTCGTGGATAAAATGAGCGAATTACAAGTGGACGAAGGCAAAAAGGTGAGACTTCAGTCTGTGTTTTAAGTCATGTAAAGCGGTTTGCAGTTAGCCTAGCCTATCGTTAGGACCATGCTGTCATTTAGCCACTCAGTAAGAACTTTTCGGCTAGCTGGCTTTCATGGGGATTTTTGTGTTGGCTTTACTGAAAATTGTTCATCTTAAGGGAACTAGCGAAAGTGTTCATTATTTCATGTTTTTGTTATGAACTTTACCACGGCAACAACAGTTATGTCTATTTGGCTAAGTTGGTTTGGCTAATGTAGCAAATCAGTACACGTACACTAAGGCTCAAGCCGGACTATATTCAGAATTGCGACAGTTTAATATTTCTTTCTATGTTGGTAGGCTCACACACGTCAGACCAGCTTAAGGTATTGAATGACTAGCTTGGGTTCTCCTTCTAAATCGGCACACCCAAGTGCTTTAAGTAGTTGTAACACAGCATTTTGTGCAAGGTTTTGTTATGTTTTGATCTTACTGAATATGCTAAAGTAGCAACAAGAAAGATGTATTTAAAATAACCGATATGTATACATTTTTAATTTGCCCAATATTATCTGCATTCGTTACTATTATTAAATGATCAGTTGGTAGGAGTGTACATTTTACATTTCCATGGAAGCTTTGTCCATGAGACCCTTCAAACATGTTTTTCACCTAGTTTCTTTTTTATAAAAGTTAAATAATTACATGGTGTGATATGTGTACAGGAAGGAACTGGAAGTGGTAAAGATGGAGGAAAGAAGAAGGGTAAAAATGCTGCTGAAGACTCTGGAGGCAGGGCTGAGGTGAGTTATTATATTGTCAGGAAATATATTGTCATGTTGTTCTGCTATTATTAGATCTTGTTTTTCAAGAACATGCATCATGTACTTGTGTAGATCTGTGTCATCTCAAAGCAACCACCCATTGGCTTCAAGATAGTGTTTTTGTTGTTGCTGTTTTTTTTGTAATGACATTATTCAAAACACAGATTCCCTAAAAAAAATTTGACCCAATGATTGTTACATAAAAAATAAATACAATTAAAACTGCAATGAGTAGACAGAAGAAATGACAATGAAAGGCTTGCTTATCTACTCTCTTTTATTTTACTTTTTTCAGCTGTCACCACAGCCTCAATACATTGAGGAACGTCTTACTTTGTACACAAAGCTGAAAGCAGAGCATGATGCTCTGATGGCAGAAAGAGCTGCAAAGGATAGCAAACCTATCAAGGTTACTCTGCCTGATGGAAAGGTTGTTGAGGCGGAGTCCTGGAAGACCACACCGTACAAGGTGGCCTGTGGCATCAGGTCAGTGCTACAGAATGTACTTTTTCAAAGATGACCCCCTTTTTGTATTTCCTGTAATCATTTTTAGTTTCTAATGGCTTCACAACTCTAAAGGCAAAATTGGAAGCAGCTGGAAATCACACTTGTCAACTTTTGACTGTCTGCTGAAGACAAGAAAATAATGGGGTAAAAAAGCAAAACTTGGTTTGGTTTTGCTTGGAATGTTATCCCTTAGTACCATCCAATGTAAAGTGATTGTAAAAAGGGGTACACATGAACATAAATTTTGGCAGCTACATAACAATCATTGGGGGGGAGGCTATCCATGTGTTTGGGTTTTTTTTGTTTTTTTTTCCCATTTCATAATCTTTTTATAGATGACAAATGTCTCAGCCCCAAGACTTAAAAAGTAATTTAAGTATTTGTTTTCTTTAAATTGCACTGGACTGTTAATGGCATTATTAGCACGCAGTGTATATCCCTGTCAGTAAAAACACACATTGTAAGGCCGATATAATTACATTTGGAATGATCAATTCTCAATGTAAAACAAAATATTTAGGTTCTGTGTAGGGTGGGTAAATATCAGGATTTACTGGCAGTACACTTCTCATTACTAGTCATAGTGAAACCACCCAATGAAATCCACATATAATGAAACTTAAGTGTTTTAGTCCTACTTTTCATAATACTACAAACGTGTACATATTAACTAGATCATTAACTACACTCTACAAAAAATATTGAGGCATGCTTCTTAATTGTTGCATTCATGTGTTTTCACTCTGCCTTTACAAAGATTTGTGGGAGGAAACAAATGTTAGAGTTAGCTCATTAAATTTGAGTGTGATACTGTTGCAATAGGAAATTTCTTCCCTCTGAGATATTCGACTATCAACTGTGTCATTAAGTGGCAGAGCACGTAAAGTTACAGACTGGGGTCACAGAGTGCTGAGGTGCATAAAGGTTAACAACACACTGTTGATTCAGTAACTGCAGAGCCCAAAGCTTCCTCTGGAATTAACATCATCACCAGGAGCTTCCTAGCTTGGGTTTTCATGGCAGCTTCTGTAGTTTTGTGTAGGTGGCCCAGTACTTTTTGTGCTATGTCATTTAATATAAAAGTTTGCATTTCATCATATTTGTCCAGGCATTTACTCATATAATGATAAAATATGTGATGTCTTTGTTCTCTTGTTGGCCATTTCTCAATAAGGTAGAACAGAAATTCTGCTAATCACAAGGATATGGCAGAGCTATTCCCAAACTCCCTCTCCACATGTCTGAGTGTGAGAAAATAAAAGGCAAATTGTGTTGTGCTACATAAATAAGCATTTGCCATTTTATTTCTGTGTCTGTACATTATTGTGATGTAGACTATTTGTGTCTTGTGTTCAGTCAAGGCCTTGCTGACAACACGGTGATTGCCAAAGTAAACGATAGTGTATGGGACCTGGACAGACCTTTAGAAGAAGACTGCAGCCTTCAGTTGCTCAAGTTTGATGACGAGGAAGCTCAAGCTGTAAGTCAGATTTTTCTTTTCTCTCCCTGCTTGTACTACATTGTTTAGAAGCATAGTTTTGGAAATTGATGCTCAACATCTTCTGGATACACAGCGTCATGCTCGCTAAACATCAAAGCTTCAGTTACCTTTTGCTTTGTAAAAGCCATATTTATATACTTGCAAAATCTTCTTTTTTTCTTTTTACACAGGTGTTTTGTTTTCAAAGCATGCAGTTAAAGCCTCAGTTCTCAGTGTATTAATTTATAATGTGCATTTTCTTTTGGGTCTCCTTTGTGCAGTTCCTCAGAATTCAATGACTGGTGTTCCTGGTGTGAATTTGATAAGCAGTGTCACTAGTTCCTTGTTTTTAAACTGGTTTTATAATACTGGCTTCATTCTTTTGTATTGTCAGCTTTTTCTCTGCTCTTTGTCATTAACAAGGAATCTGTTCAGTGTCACAACCTTGATATTTCCCCTTAAAAGTCTTAGTAACACAAACGGTTTGAATACTCCTGTTTTCTAAATTTGCCAAAACTTCTGTATTTTCATTAGGTTTACTGGCACTCCAGTGCTCATATCATGGGTGAAGCAATGGAAAGGGTGTATGGGGGCTGCCTCTGCTACGGTCCCCCTATCGAGAATGGCTTCTACTATGACATGTTCCTAGAAAACAATGAGTGAGTTTCGTATGCTCTAAGTTCAGAGTTTCTGTCTAATTAGTGGTGTTAGTCTGCATCCAGTGATATTTTTGGTCTGTACCTCAGGGCTTAGCAGCTGTCAATCTGGTTTACTGTCTTCAGACCAGAAGCAAACACAAAACAGACAGATTGTAACTACACTAATGCTGTCTAGCTGGGGCTATGTGTGGGGACTGAAAAACATCTTTCTACATATTTCTGTTGGAATAACAAGTCTATTCAAATTAAACAACGAGAAACAACTTAAGGGAAGCTTTGAAAGGGGGATTGAGACACCTTCAGAAATTTCAACAAGTTTTCCTCATAAACAACTTCTTAACTTGACCTTTTTGGATCCACGTCTCTCTGCTTTAGGCTGCAGGAAAGCTTGAGCAGTGCTGTCTAATTAATTCTACAACCTCCTTAATGAAGCCATTTTATGCTAATGGAATTCTTGGAGACTGTTTTCTTTTTTACAAGGATATTTTGACATTGCGTAAGCCCTAAAGCCGAGGACTTTAAAGTAGTTGCCCATCCTTGGATGAGGTTATCTGTATTACGAAGACTTAAGAATTATTCTGTTGGACAAAAGTCTGTTCTCATGGTTAAATATCTGGTCACATCCATGCTGCCCTTTGGAAAGCATGGCAGACTAAATTTAGCAGTGGAGGCAGTTTGCATATTAATGTGGGGTTTTAAGTGAGAAAGTGTTCAGTGTGCAGTTCTTGGTGTGATTTCTTGATGTTTTGGACAGGGGTGTATCGAGCAATGACTTCCCCTGTCTGGAGAGTTTGTGCAAGAAAATCATCAAGGAGAAGCAGCCGTTTGAGAGGCTCGAGATAAAGAAGGAAACTCTCTTGGAAATGTTCAAGGTATCTTTAAACAACAGCACACGAATATGGAACAAAAATTCAATTGATTTGATGATTTTTTTTTTTTTAAACATAATCTTTTGTTTTTTTCTAGTACAACACGTTTAAGTGCCGCATTCTGAATGAGAAAGTCACCACTCCCACTACCACAGTCTACAGGTGGGTCAGTGAATGTAATAGTATCCTGGTGATATATTCTTTTTTTGTTTGTTTGTTTGTTAATCTCAAGCAAATCAAATAAAAAAACCAGATGCACTTTATTACAGGTGCCTCAGACTTTAACTATCATCCAAAACAATTTTTTAAAAATACTGTAATGTGACTATGATATGTGTGTATATATATTATTTATTTAAATTTGAAAGAGATATTGATTTGCAACTGCACTACTTAATTGGTTAAAGATGCTGTGTTTAGTTCTTTCTGTCACAGACTGGGTCGACATTTCGGCGCTACATTCAAAACACAGCTGGTTCTCCTAGTCAGTATTTATTTTAAATATAGAACAAAACAGGTGACTAAGTGAACTAAAGCTACAATATTTTCCATTTCAGATGTGGTCCCTTAATTGATTTATGCCGGGGACCTCATGTGAGACACACTGGAAAAATCAAGGCACTCAAGATACACAAGGTTAGACTTTTTGCTATCAGCCGTGTAAATTTATTGAACAAACTTGCAGTTAACAATATATGTGGATATAAGAGAGATTTAAAATACTGGAGTCTGTGTCCTGAATGTCTGGCTGTAAGCACATTTGTCCCTATTTTTAGAGCAGAGTTACCCTTTGTTTTATCCCCAAGGGATTTGATGGACCCAAAAGAATGATGAAAAAGCTTACGTACTCCCTTTTGTGTGCTAGAATTCATCCACATACTGGGAGGGAAAGGCGGACATGGAAACCCTCCAGAGGATCTATGGAATCTCCTTTCCTGACCCCAAAATGCTTAAAGACTGGGAAAAGTTTCAGGAGGAGGCCAAGAACAGAGATCACCGCAAACTAGGCCGGGTAAGAATTGAAATGTAAATGAGCTGTGAGTTAGGAAAATGGTCTCTTACAGGTTTCACTGTTCGCAGTCTCTTGGTATTGCAAGAAGAAAATTTGAAATGTACAGAGTAAAGTACTCAAACTAGTTTTTGAACAGTGTGAAAACATGTATGATCTTTAAATCGGTTAATAGCATGTGTAAATAAGTTTTATTTAGTGAATTGTTTGGTAAGCTCATAAACTGATTGTCACATACTGACATTAATATAGCATGATGGAAAAATATCCATGAAGCAGATTTTAGTTTGCTGGTTATTGAAAGAAAACCCATAGTCGTCAGCTCAGAGTGTAGGGTATTGCAGCCATATTTTCAGTGTGATGAAGGCGTGGAAAAGGGCACATACCTAGACAAACCCTATTTAAAGCTTAAATATGTCACGAGGTGTCTTCAAATTGAAACCACTTGTTTGATGGCTCTTTTTAATTTTCTGTCTCTAACAAACCCTATTTTCTTTTTACATTCAGGAGCAGGACCTGTTCTTCTTCCATGACCTGAGTCCAGGGAGCTGCTTTTTCCTGCCTAAGGGAGCCTTCATCTACAACACCCTGATTGAGTTCATCAGAGTAAGGCTGAGTTGTCAGACCCACTGATAATTACTGTGATCTAACACTGAGCTTGGAGATGTAGAAAAAAGAGAGGTTATTAGGGAGAAAGTTTACATTTGCAGGAGGAAGAAGAAGAAGTTCTGCGATGATGAAAATGGCTTTATAATGCACACAAGAAAAAAACGCTCCAATTTAAGCCATGTGTCATATACTTTAATACAGAGAACTAAAAAGGGATTGGTAATGTTTTGATAATACAGCATTAAATCAGTGTCTTAAGCAAAGGCCAGATGAATAGGAAAATAATTCATGTTTTCTTTCCACAACAGTAATGCTGTAAATGGAAGCTTGACACATCCAATTTATGCTTATTTAATAAAATATTGTTTTGGCCAGGTAATAGAAAAGCATTGCTCAATGTGATGTTTACCTTCTGACACACAAATTCACTTGTGAATCTCAGAAAAGCTTATTATTATCCAACACTTATTTAAAATATATTGAAACACTGACAGCATTAAAGGAAAGCTTTATTTACACCTGTTCTATTATACAGACACATAAAAGTCAATCTTTTTCAAAGCATTTATTTTCCTGGGTTTCCAGTCAGTGCAGTCATAATAGAAAACACATTCAAGGCAATTTCACTTAAATAGATTTCTGACTGAGCAGATTTGGAGTAATGAGATTTGTTTTGTTCAAAAAACAAAAAATGGTTCTGCATTCTGCTTTCACAAACAACAAAACACCGAAAACATATCAGCAGATATCAGGATTTAAAAGAAATGACAGATTATTTTATAATATCATCTGTCTTTCTGATTCGAACAAACCAATCAGCTCATGGTGAATTAAAGCAATACAAAAGTGAATACCCTTATATTTCAGTTTTTTCCCCAAACTCTTCGTAATATATGAACAAACAGGAGAATGCAAATATGCAGCAGTATAAACATGTTTGCTTGCAGAGTTGTTTACCATTTTATTTATGCATACGTCCCTTATTAGAGAGTCTCCAGGTGTTGACAGAAACCACTTCAGCCAGTTGTTTGTAGAGGTGATGGATACACAGAATTGTGAAGCTGAGCTTTTTGGAAGACTTTGTGAGAAAACATTGTCACGTTCATTGCCAGAGTGAGTACAGGAAGAGGGGCTTCCAGGAGGTTGTGACTCCCAATGTCTACAACAGCAAACTCTGGCAGACATCTGGGCATTGGCAGCACTACAGCGAGAACATGTTCTCCTTCGAGGTGGAAAAGGAGATCTTCGCTCTCAAGCCCATGAACTGCCCTGGACACTGGTGAGACTTCTGTTTCCTCACAATCAGAGTTGTTGTCAGGTATAGTTTCAGTTTTAAAGGGCAACTACAAAAGAATGAGGGAAAGAAAAACACTCCTTTTAATGCACAGTGTAGCAAGTGTTGCCTGTAGTGTGAAATATTTATTTTTTTAATACTTGTAATCAGAAGTAACTGCTTGTTGAAGGAAGAGCTGTGTATTACATACATGTCCATTACCATTAAATAAACTCGGACTGCTGTCACAAAAGAAAATGCTTGTCAGCCAGTTCAGCTCAATGTTTGCTGTGTTTTCAGTTGTTGGCCGAGGACACTTGCTGCTGCATTGCAGTGCAAAGAAGCAGACTGCAGTTATTTGTATTCACATCTTTTATCTCTTTCCACTCGTTCAGACTTTTGGTTGTCCACAAAGATGACCTCTCTGAAAATCACACTGTAATCAAAATTGATCTTCAAAGTGTTGAATATCAGTTAAATCAAATATTACACTCAGGTTTTCACAGCAGAGCATTTTTTAGGTATTGTGATTACTCTAGGTATAAGTTGGCAGTTGCATCTTTGTGTATTTTATACATATGTTTGTTTGGCACCAGTTTGATGTTTGATCACCGGCCTCGCTCCTGGAGAGAGCTGCCTTTTCGCATGGCCGACTTTGGTGTCCTGCACAGGAACGAGCTGTCAGGAGCTCTGACTGGCCTCACCCGTGTCCGCCGCTTCCAGCAGGACGATGCTCACATCTTCTGCTCCATGGACCAGGTGAGATGTGCATTGAAATGTGTACAACACACATTTTGGCTTTATATGAGCCCGATGAGACCAGTAAAAATTGTTTTACACTTAAAAATCTGTTTACAGTCTTGGCGTTTCCCACTAGGTATGTGGGGCCAAAAAATTATTTAAAGGATACGTAGGATGCTAATTTCCGATTAGTAGAGCAGCTTTGCATCCTACTTCAATATAATGGATATTTACGCATGGATGATCGGTTCACTTTAAAGGCAATTGTTACTGGTTGAGTGCGAAGCCTTCAGTTGAGACTGAAGAAAAGTAAAATAAATCTGAGTGTCGCATACACCCCTCCTGAACTGTCAGCAGTTGGGTTTCTTTTAACAAAAAAGACAATACCCCTGACTCTGCTATATCAACTTTTGTTTCCTCCTTTAAAGCATGACCATGTTCAGTGTTATTTGACTGAAATACTAAATTCATTACTCTTTAGAAAAGGATACCATTCATACCAGTGTAATATTTTAAGTCACATTTATTACTGAAATACTTTCTAAAAAACGTTTTAATTTTTAATACATTTCCAAAGAACGGCACAGTTGTAACTGGTGCAAACAAACAATATTTGGAAAGACCAAAAAAGTTTCTTAATTTTTCGGTTCATAAGTCTTATTACAGCAGCCGTGATCACACTGATTAATTTTCTCCGTGAAGGCACTGGATTGGATGTTTAATTATTTTGATTGCACTTGTGCACAAATTATTTCATTTTTAATTTTTCTCTTTCATTGCAGCAGCTGGAAAGCACTGCTTGTAGTCGTTTTTGTTTGTTTGTTTTTTGTTGCTGTTTGTGGTGGTGTGGTTTTGTTTTTGTTGTTGTTTTGGGTTGTTTTTTTCCCCCCCAGTATTTAGAATCATGCAAAACAGACTGCAGGAGATATGCTCTTATGTTGCATTAAATTGATAATCAGTGACTTCAGCACATGGTTTACATAGAAAAGAAAGCAATCATTTTCCTTTCAGTTATTCTTATCGTGTATTTTCCTTCACCTTCAAAGCACTCACTCGTTATTTATTTATTTATTTTTTTCAATTATGATGAAATCTTTGTGGTTGTTAGTTTTTGGGTTTTGTTGTTGTTGTTGTTTTTAAATAAACCAAAAGTTGAGCATCTTATCAAACAAAATAATTAGGTTTCCTTCTCTAGCTATCCTAACACAAACAAACATGAAATCAGCAGCAGAAATTACATTTGTAGCCATGTCCAGATGGATGATGCAAACACTATTGCTTTTTTGTTTTCTTTCTTTTATCACTGACCTCAGATTGAGTCCGAGATCAAGGGATGCCTGGACTTCCTGCGGACTGTTTATGATGTCTTTGGCTTCACTTTTAAACTCAACCTTTCCACGAGACCAGAGAAGTTCCTGGGAGACCCAGAGGTCTGGGACCAAGCAGAGAAGGTATTCAAAAGGCCTCTAGCTTCACTACATGTAGAAAATAAGAAAACGCTCAGTCAGTGTCTCACTGGAACATTAAGATTCTGATGTGAGACATTGTTAAGATGTAAATTCTAGCGCCACTCCACTGACAGCGAATGGAGAAGTGAGACTTGCAGACCCTAAGTACATTTATATTTTAATGAGGTTTTTTTTGTGGACTTGCAATCATGTCTGAAGAAGGGTTTTTTACGCTTTGAAACCGTCCACATATTGTTGCTTTAACTGTCTGCTTTTGCTGCGAAATCAAGTTCACAAGTTCTGTATTTTACATCTGTAGTTCGGCTCTAATTTGCTCAGCTTGTCTTTTAAACAAGCATAAACAAATAATAGAAGTGAGTTGGACTGAGTCATAATTAGGCTTTATTGCTCGGTGTTGTGGGTAACAGCGTTGCAGCTTTTCATGAATGACATCAAGCATCTCTGCTGGGACAACTTGAATTGTAGGAGATGAATCTGTAGAGCCACTGTTAAATGATGGTTACTAAATGCCACATATATACTGCATTGTTGTTCCCACAGCACTAGTCCATGAAGGACATAAAGTGTTTATTTGTCTGGCAAGCCTGTGCTGGCTGCCTTTGAATGGTTGAAAAAGTTTGACTGATGTAAAGCATGTGTTGAATTAACTTTCACACGGCCTTTACTCTTCTCTTTATCTGATTGCAGAGGTATTTTATTTCAGCAGTCGGATAACTATTTCATCTGCACATTGCCACACTCGATTCATGTCACAAAGATGTTCAATTATGTTTTCCTCTAAGTGGTTTTTTGTTTGTTTTTTTTTTACTCTGTTGGAAACTTTCATCTGGCAGAATAAGCTGATACATTTTGTACCTTGTTGTCACCACTTCATTGATTTTTTTTTTTTAATCATGATTTTGTTTTTTGTGGTGGCGGGTTTGTCATTATAATCTAGTGCAGTCTTCTTGGTGGAGGTTCAAGATACATCCTCTGTTTTTTTTATAACGGAAAATGTTCAAATGTTTTAAACCCATGAGCCACTAGAAAATATGGTTTACATTTTTGTTCTCAGGCACTGATAAATTACCATGAACTGTAGCTACACTCATTCTTGAATAGATAGAACATAATAGCAGGGTAGAAGAAGAGAAAAGCATACTTACTCTTTATTACTGGCTCTGTCTGCCCTTCTGTTTTTCAATTTATGGGTATTGTAGAAACCTGAAAGAGTTCCTTTTCCTTTCTGCTCCCTTTTTACAGTCACTGGTGTCATCATTCAGTTCTCAGTCCTTCCGTTTTTAATTTAATTTTCAAGCATATCTTTTGTCTGCTGGGAGAAAAGCATTACTGATGGAAGTTATTTTTAGGCTATTTCATTATCAATAAATTGATTGGTTACAGTTACTATTAAAGTTTTAAAGACTGTAGTTTGCTGATAAGTAGCACACTACAAATATAATTCAAATGCTACAGTATAAAAATTAAATGTACTGTATCTTACTGACTGCACATGTTAATTATGGGCTGCTGCTATCTTTTTCTAATTAACAGTTAGTCACAGTTCTTAGAATAGAAATAAAAGCCATAAAAAATATCAGCTTGCAAGTTGAACAGCTGTCTTACTTAACCTGTCATCTGAAGAAAGCACTCTTTAAATGCAGCACTGACTTTTAATGATTAATGTGTCCCACACAAAGGTGGAAAATTATACACACAAAAGTGACTGGGGAACTTGGCATCGTGCTTGGAAGAAACTGCTGCATATTTCCCTCAGCTCGTTACTTCCCACAAGCAACCATAAAATATTATTGAGACGTTAGCATTTCTCAGTTCAGTGATTAGTTCCAGATGAAGAAAAGGTCAGGTCTAAAGGAGGAGCCTTGCTTAACACCTCTGTTTACCTGCACGTTTGTCAGAAACTGACATGGTAATAAAGCAGTTATTGTTTGTATTTACAGCAACTGGAGAATAGCTTGAATGAATTCGGAGAGAAATGGGTTCTAAACCCAGGTGACGGAGCTTTCTACGGACCCAAGGTGAGCTGTGCGCTGCACTAATGATGTAGCTAAACTGTGGAACTGCAGAAGGGTCGCTTTTGATCACAAGTCTTTTGTCTGCAGATCGACATTCAGATCAAGGATGCCATTGGTCGATACCATCAGTGCGCTACTATTCAGCTCGATTTCCAGCTCCCGATCCGCTTCAACCTCACGTTTGTCAGGTAACGACAAGTTTTATATGTTGGGTAATTAAATTTATGGCCCATGGGATAAGCTAAAGTGTCAGTGAGAAAGCAGGAAATCCAGTAACCAAATAGCGATGAGTAATATTCTTAATATGTAAATAAACCCCCTGACTTGGAGACAGTTAACTTGTCTGCCAAAAAAACATTACAAAATTATCTGTCTTCATTACAGCTTTATGACAATACCCAGTAATAAAGCTTATAAGTGCAAGACCAACAAAAAGGAGCACCACCATAGCAATTATCTGTTTCTCTTTATAGTGCTTAAAATGTATAAAGTCTAGAAGCAGAGCTCCCCCCCCCCCCACCCCCCAGGGAAATTTTACCAGTTATGCAAGTCTCACCTATTATTATACATCTCACGATTCAGGTCATATTGTTGTCTTTTCAAACTGTCTTTAATTGGTCATTTCTTCACTGTTGTTGCATCACTTCATAAACTGTTTAAATTACATTAGGTGATGTTTGTCAGTAGCTAATTAAATGATCTGTTGCCTTGAAAATTTACCTTGGTAAATAATTAACCTGTAAAGCATAATTGAAAGTATTAGTAGAAGCTGGCAGTTGGAGTTTGAGTTTTACACATCATGTCGTGCACTGAGTGCCATCTTTCACAAAAGGGCAGTGGCTGCATGAAAATTAATTTAGATGTTTTATTTCTGTCTGGGGGGAGGTGAATAAGGTGACATCACAATATAAAATTGAGAATTAGATAAAAGACACTCTAGTCATTAAATAGCATATGCTGTCCTCACCTGTTTGTTAATTGGCCCTCCATCATTTTCTATTGATTGCTTTTTGTAAGTCCCTCACTTAAAACAAACATAAGTCTGAGTTTTGTCCTGTATAAATGGTTGTGTTTGCTGAGGGGAAATTTTCACTCTGTTATTTTTTTTTTTTTCCTTTCCAACAACCTTTGTAGCCACGATGGTGACGACAAGAAGAGACCTGTGATCATCCACAGAGCAATCCTGGGATCAGTAGAGAGGATGATCGCTATTCTCACTGAAAACTACGGGGGCAAATGGTTTGTAAACAATCAGTTTAAAAAGGTTGATTTGTGAAGTAGCACCATTCTTGATTTTTGACATTTTTGGTTTATTGCTGTTCTTTCAGACTGTTCCCATGATTTCTTGATTAATGGGCTAGAAATGGAAGCATGACAGCTCAGTGGGGGGTGGGCGGGTGACATTTTTTTTTACATGGGTTTCTGGCAGACGGGCAGGTTTCTGGCCTGTTTTTTAATAATCAGCTAAATGCAAATATGTCCTCCTCTGTTTCAGGCCTCTGTGGCTCTCTCCTCGTCAAGTGATGGTTGTACCCGTGGGACCAACCTGTGAAGAGTATGCTGAGAAAGTAAGAACTGACCTTGGCTGCTTCCGTATTTACATTTAAAGGACATTACAAACAGCACCCTCAGGCTGTTGAGCACTTTAATTTAACTTTATACATATTTTGTTATGTTATCACAGACTGGAGTCATTCAGTACTGCAGTATTTAAGGATCATTAGTTTCGTCTCTATTAAACTACTGCATGCTTTGCCGAAATTCAGCCTGCTTTGTTGCCTCAGCTTTTAAGTGTATAATTTTTTAATATTTCTGAATCAAGTCATGCAGGTTTTCGTGAAGCTGTCACACAATGTTTTATTTAAAATTAAAATTAAAGCAATGCTCTGCTACTTAATTAGGATGTTAGTTCATAAATACTAATGGATTTTTCTTCTGAACGTTTTTTGTTTTGATTACAATTTAATTATTTGACATTGGCCTAATCATGGCGAGCACAATGTTATCACACCTAATAAAACTGACTGTCAGAGCTATGAAAATAAAACTCGGTTTGTATTAATGTTTGCTTAGCTTTTAACATGTGTTGGGGACATTCTGGTTGGATATCGTTGGTGCTGAACATATTTGTAAAGGTGGTCTATAGTCCCAATATTGTAATGGGAAAAGAGAACAGCCCCACAGTCCACTGTGATTGTAATGGTTTCTGTAATATGATCTTTATTCTGTTCAGACTAAAATGTGTAACATCTACAGACTTTTTCTTGTAAGCAAATGAATTAATTTCCAAAACGTTCCTGGACTGTTTTAAGTGTTGGTTGTTTCTCTCATTAATGTGGCAGATCAAGCAGGAATTCCACAGCAGCGGCCTCATGACTGACGTGGATCTCGACCCCAGCTGCACCCTGAACAAAAAGATCAGAAATGCACAGTTGGCGCAGTATAACTTCATCCTGGGTCAGTGGCAACACACATTTGTTTCAGTCTTGTCTGTTATTCCTGTCCTTATCGCTTTCTCACTGACCATCTAGATATTGATTTTCCTTCTCTCCCTTTTTGTCTTTGCATGTTTCCCTGTTTGGAAAGTGGTGGGAGAGAAGGAGAAGACGAGCAACACAGTGAACGTACGCACCCGAGACAACAAAGTCCACGGCGAGCACAGTGTGGAGGAGTGCATCAAGCGCCTCAAACAGCTCAAGACCTCCAGGTGTCGGAACGCCGAAGAGGAATTCTAAGAAATCAAAAAACAGTTCCTTGAGTAACATGGGGGTAAAAGGTTGAAATATGTTTTTGATAGGGAATAAAACTGCCTTCAATGTTTTGTCTTTGCTCTTCTTAAATGATTTTTCTGGTATCTTCCTTTTGCTATTTTATATCACTGTTTTTAGTTGTCAAATCACATCGTTAGTATAATTTTCCCTATTCATTGTTCTTAGACAAAATCCAGCTGGTGGGAATGTAATGTGGGGATGTCTTTGAAAGGTTTTCAGACCACTGCTATGAATAAACCAGAGAACATTTTCCAAATGTAATGAAAAGAAGAGTATGAAATGAGGATGATCTGATATCCTCGTGTTGGTGTTGTTCCCAGATCATCATGAAAATGTTGTTCCAGGTTCAACATTGCTGTGACGTTATTTTTTTTGCTCGCCAAGCCATTCGTGCATTTATGAAATTCCAATGTTGCAAGGACAATATCAATTCTGCTTACTGTTTATTAAAGGGTTACGGTTAGGGTTAGGGTCAGGGTCCGTTGATCGGCGGACAGAGGCGGTTTCACGCAGCTTTAGAACAGTTTTTTGTTTTACGTCGCTTTTTCCCGAAGTCGCAAAAGTATGACGTCACAACATTCTGATTGGTCACTTGCAATGTTGATCCTGGAACAACATTTTCATGATGATCTGGGAACAACACCAACACGAGGATATCAGATCAACCATGAAATGACTTGTACCTCAACTGTCAGTGTGTATCACTCGTTATTTCTTCAGGGAATTGTACTTTAGTTACAATTTTGATAATTAAATCATCTATCCTCGACAGTTGTACCCTGTGGGTTTTTTTTTTTTTTTGTATTGTAGAAGCAGATTGTTGTTTGCCCAACAGTCACCCAGAAAATGTACAAATTAGACAAGTTTGAGTTCAGAAAAGTAAAAAAAAAAAAAATAATAATCCAGCACCAAGTTACAAGTCAACAAGAATCTAAATTTCAAAGCTGAAATGAGATGGCTGATGATGATGCTGGTGGGGTGGAAGTGCGGAGATTGTAAAGGGAATATATCCATGTGTAAAAACCGGATCCTTATCACCATCCTCCACTCGTGCATCAGCAGTGTGCGGGCAGGTACACACCTGATGCTATTTATTACACGCTTACTGAGCTTTGGGACCATTTACTGTGCCTGTCTGTGCTGTTAGACTAACAGATGAGTGAGGAAGTTTTATTTAAACACTGGGAAACGCTTCCAGTTACCTATAACCAGTGTGATAATACATGCAGAGAGGATTAAACAAATAAATGTCGCTTCTGCACTTTCACTGCATGTTGATTGTGTTTACTGCACAATCTGTATTGCACCCAACTTGAGTTTGGGGATCATTATTATTCCGGCCACTAGTGGGTGCCATATCTGTGTGTTTTACTTACACAGCTGGAACAGACAAATGAAGACAGGTCTAAAAAGTATGTGCTTTGTATCAATCCCAAAGGATTGAAATTGTAGAAAAAATGGCAACAAACATTATGTACAATAATCTAAAAATACTTTCATTAACCGTTGCATTTATTTGTTCACTTAGATTTAGTGTTTATGAAGTACTTAACAGGTTTAGCGTTTGCCCTTCTTCCGGTAATGACTGTAACTGTTCCTTTGCTTTATTTGGGGGGGAAATTGCTTAAGTCATACAAAAAATTTTAATTTAAGTTGGAAATAAAGCATGCACTAAGTTAGAGTGAAGGATGGTCTCATACTTGCAGAAGAGGTGGGCAAACTCTGAATACAGGCCAAAGAAAACATTTCATTTGGCTGCTCCACAAGTTGAAGGTAATTAAATGTGAGAGAAGCCATAAGTTATTTTGGCCGATTTAGGCTTTCGGCACCAAATAAAATATGTTCACTGGCTATATTTCTTGTGTAGAGTTTAATTTCACACTTCATGCACACTGATTGTTTAAATGTATGTTTTTTGTATATCCATTTTCTAAGTGTAAATGCATGAACAGGGTCCTGTGTGTTCTGTGCAAACACTGTCTTGGCCATGGCATGGCAGTTATGAATTTTTAGTATTTGTTTTCATCTCTCCAAGGTGAGATAGGAGACAAAAATACAACAAAGAAATCAGAAGATAAGAAAAAAAAGTGTGTGTAAAGGCACCCTCCTATCAAATCTGACCACAAGGGGGAACAGCTGAACCAGGATCTCGTGGGGGGTGAAAGGGAAGGGGCCTAATGCCGGTGGAGTGTGGGAGAGAAAAACATTTTGATAAGGGGTTAATGAAAAAGTCAATGGAGTAGAAGAGTGTCAACAGACAGAGCGAGACAGCCAGAAATCTCTGGGGATGCAGCTCGGCTGTTGACTCTCAGCTTGCCTGTGAATCCTCGCTCCCTCTTGGATCCTTCCTGTATGCTTCACTGACGACCTGGCCATGAAGGGTCACAATGCTTCACTGAACTGAGCAAACTTTTCTTTCTCATGCCATGCATGCATTTTAAGGTATTGATTCACATACTTAAAGGTCCCACTGCTGCTCTTTCCCTAGGTAATAAAGTGATTCTATGAAAACCTTACAAATAGTCTTGTTATACAGTATATTATACAGTACTGTTTTAATACTTATTTTTTATGTTAAGGGTCCTGAAGTATTTTTTGATTATCATGTTTCAAAAATGATAAAATTCTCAAATTAATTATTGGAGAAAAAAAAATCACATTTAGCAAAATCAAACTTCATAGGCTCCTATGTTCACACACATACACACTCAAGTCTGTCCACAAGACTAGAGCAACACTTCAACACCGAGTCTGTGACAAAGTAGGGAGCTCACACTGTATATAAAAGATGGGCATCTGCTTCTTGAACCCAAATGTCACAAGTGCAGAGTAGATGTGACACAGAGGGATGCTGCATGCTCATATATGAAGAATTGTTAATCACAAGCTCTAAAGTCATGCTTTATTACATGGAAACTAATGAGAGCCATAATTTGCAAAATGACCATAACTCGTCAGAAAAGTGTTTACTGATGACATGGATCAAGGTAGCTGAGGGTCCCCATAGAAATAGTGTCCTGAAAAACCCGAGGTGGCTATGTACATCTTTTATATACAGTCTATATGGTAAACGAAACAAGTTTTGAAAATGCTGCTCTTTGAAAGAGAGACGAGTTCATACAGTGCTACTAGGCACATTTTGCTGTCTTTGGACAATATGTTTCCAACCTGTGTGCTAAGCAGAAGCTAGGCTAATGTAATATTTCTATAATTGTGGTATCAATGTTCTTATCGAAAAGCTAGAAAGAAAATGTATTTCCCAAAATGCTAAACCACAATTTATGCTGAGACTTCTCATCCCATCTGGCTTTTTTTTTTTCAACAGTAACAAGTTGTCATACTTGCTTTTATGTTTATTTTTCCTTGTCGCTATGACAACTGAGAGCAGTTGTAAAGTTAGTCTGTATGATGCATGTCAAAGGTTTTTTTTTTTTCCTGTACTCCACCCCCTCCCACCCTTAAAAGTGACAATCAAAAACCAGAAAGCCTCCCCCGCACTCATGTTCCTACCTACTCTCTGCCCTTTCATCCTCAAGACATGTTGTTTCTGGGCCAAACGAATGCATATTTGAATGCTTACCAACCGTTTTCTTCTCCAGAATACTTCTCTGTCTCTGGAGCAACTCCTATCAACCCTGCCACACACACACACACACACACACACACACACACACACACACACACACACACACACGCACACACACACACAATCTCCTACTGCACCATAACCCCTCTGCATAAATGCAACAGAACCCAAAATTATGGTCAGCCGCTCATGAAGTTAGTTTTGCTTGGGAAAACCAAGCTGCCAGCTTTAATATCATAATGTTACCAAATTATATGGTTCTAATTGGGAACTGTTTGATCACACTTTCTGGCAGCTGAAAAGCTAGCGTGTGACCATAGAAGGCTTTTTTTTCTCATCTCAAAAGTATGACCTCTGTTTCTGACCCAGCATAAATTAAGGAAACCGCTTTACACCAAGGAGAGGCCTTTGGCACCAGGCACACCCTGCATGCAGCCAACAGCAACAGTTCTCTGTGAATATCTGTGATGTAGGTCTGGAAGATGTGCAAACACAAGACAGCTGCATGTCAAGAAAAACTAAGCAGCAGTAGTTGGTTCAGCTTTAAACAGTACAATAGTATATCAAAGAGCAAAGATGAAAAAGAAAATTCAATAATCAGATTTGATTTAGTAACTTTGTAACAGATTGCTGTTTTAGAGAAAAACCTGTTTACTAATATCTATTAATTGATATTTCAGTATAGATTAATAGTTTTCAGGTAATAATTGAACTTCTTATCCATAACTTTTAACTTGAAGATTAAATAAATTCACACTTTTGTTATTTAAGTAAAGTAGATTTAATGCAGTCTGATAGTACGACTCATGGGTTGGATGAGCTAGAATTACCTCAGGTGTGTGTGCGGGATGTTGTGCAATCTACTCTTGTGAGAATAAAATTAAATAAAGATCACACAAGTATGTTCTTGTCATTGTGAGTCATTTCATGGAACTGCTGTGCCTTTTGCCAATATATTGTATATCTATATGATTATGTTTTTGGGAATCACTGAGCTAGACCACTATTCCTTTCAGGTCTATTTGATCTTTCTATCAAACTCAGCCCAGCAATTATTTCTTAACAGGTGATTAATAAAGTTTGACATTCTTGAGCTGCAATTGCGGTAGAAGCAATTAGCCCCCGACACTTAAAAAAGCCCCGACGTCTTTACCACAAATCAGAATTTTAATCTTAAAGGCAGCACCTTCAGCATCACATTAGCAGATGGAGTGGAGTTTTTTTTTCTCCTAATATACTCCTTATGGTAAAGACTACTGTAAATCAACCCCATCCATAGTCCACCTTTCTTTCATTCCTGTGTTTGTTGAAATTGGCTCAGAGCACTGGTCCAACATGAATTTAGCAACCTCATTACAACCAACCAAAACCCATTACTCTGCTCTGCCCACGGGGAATAACACCTTTTTCTTCATCAAGCAGCAAATAAGAGGTTTTACCCACAGTTTCCATTACTTTACACTG